TGGCAGCAGTTACTTACAAGAAGGTATCCGGAGAGCAGATTATGCAGTGACCACTGCCACTGAGGTCTTAGAAGCTAAAGCCCTATCAGCCATATGGTCAGCACAACAGACCAAATGATATGCCTTAATCCAAGCCCTCACCGTCAGCGAGAGCAAGCAAGTCAATATCCACACCGACTCCCAATACACCTTTGCCACAGTACATATACATGAGCAATCTACAAGAGGTCCCCTTACTGCAGCAGAAAAAGCAATCAAGAACAAGGAAGAGATACTGAAACTCCTCGAAGCCATTTGGCTCCCAAAAGAAGCAGCAATTCTACATTGCAAAGGACAACAAAAGGGAAACGACCTTATAACACAAAGGAATAGCTTGGCAGATGAAGCAGCTAAAGCAGCAGTCAGTAAGGAGACAGGTGAAGCTCCTTCCCTCACCATGGTCCTAATGCCCCCTGTGGAGGCCCCTCCACCCAAGAACACTGAAAAGGAGAAAGACTGGGCCAAGGCTGAAGGAGCCATCCTAAAGAAGAAAGGGTGGTGGATGCTGCCCAATGGATGCATCTTTGTCCCAACTGCAACTGGAAGGCATCTAGTTAGAAAGTACCATCAGCTCACCCACCTAGGAAAGACTGCACTGGAAGCCCTCCTCAAGAAGCAATACTACATCAGCCTGTTGCCAGCACTATGTTGGGCAACAAGTGAGCGGTGTGTGACAGGTGCCAGGAATGACGGTCAATCCGTGCCACAACACCTGCCAGGTGTCCAAAGGGCAGGAACTGCCCCCTTTGAAGACTTAGAAAGACTTTACAGATGTCCAGCCAAGCAGACTACTCAGATACCTCCTAGTGATAGTGTGTACATACTCTGGGTGGGTCGAAGCCTTCCCAACCAGGACAAAACGAAGCCGGAAGGTAGCCAAAGTTCTCCTGAGGGATTGACCTATCGTCTACAATCCACAGTGATAATGGACCTGCATTTGTAGCAGACATTGTATAGATTTTAACCAAATCTCTCAAAGTCACCTGGAAACTCCACCCTGCCTACAGGTCCAGAGTTTAGGGAAAGTGGAGTGAATGAATCATACCCTCAAGGGAACCCTAGCCAAGTTCTGTCAGGAAACTGGCCTCCCGTGGCCGGACCTACTATCCCTGGCCCTTCTGCGTGCTTGCTGCACACCCAGTTTTTCACCTTTTGAACTAGTGCATGGGCTGCCCTCCCTGCCCACCATCATGTCTGGGGAGCTTTCCAGGGAACCTACACCAAATAGGGTATAAAGGAATAAGGGAACAGCTCCAAGCCTTAGGAGCCACCCTAAATGAGCTACAATACACCATAGAAAAAGCCCTGACCTCTTTGGGGACCCCAGTACCTTCCTTCCAGGTAGGGAACTCAGTCTGGGTCAAAGATTGGAGAAAAGATCCCCTCAAGCCTCAGTGGACTGGGCCTCACATTGTTGTTCTAACCACCCCTACTGCCCTCAAGGTTTCAGGCATCACTCTGTGGGTCCATCATCCTGACGAAGAAATATATCAGTGGAGAGCCCAGCCACACCACAAGAACCCTCTCCGCCTCTGCCTCCGCCTCTGATGAGAACACTGACTAATGGACATCCACACGCCATGGTTCCTGGTCCTGGTCAGTGTGAGATCACTCATCGTGGGGACTGGACTCTGCTGCCACTCTTTCTGACTAGACTGTCCCCCACAGAGTTGCGACTGCCATTACTTATTGGGTGACCATAGGCTGCATTGTTGCGTTTATTTACTTATATACCTTCATTCCCTTCCCTTCCTTCCCTCTCATTCCCAGGGAACCTCAGTGTGCTTGCATAAGGTCAGACAAATGGGGGACTGGGTTCAGTCCTACATCTACATGCCTGCCAAATGTTATAATAAGAACAGGGCCACCCTTTGATTTAAGATGGGAAAAAGTACTGGACTGGAACAATGAGTAAACAGGACTCAGACTGTCCAATTAGGGGAAGAAAGGGATCCACTGTCTGCTGTACCTACCTCACCCACATTGGGATGTCTTATTGTGAGGGAGTCCAGGACCAGGCACAGAGGTACAGGGATGAAAAGGTCAAGTAGGCCCTAGAGGCACTGACTGAAGGATCAGCTTACTGCAATACTGACCTCTCAAGACTCTAACAGCTAACTCAGACCCTGGCCCCTACCTATCAGGACAACCAGGTCATCACAGCAGCCTACGAGTTGATTTGAAACATCAGCAACCATACACAAGCCTGCTGACTTTGCTCGCCCTTAACTCGCAGGGCATATGTTGGAACCCCAGTGCCCTCATACTGGAGCTCCACTCAGGCAGCTGAAAATAAGACAGCCCAGAACCACACCAGACTAATTGGTCTGGTAGCCTACAACATCCAGCTCCAGCCCACTGCGGACAACATAACATGCCTGACCAACTCAGGGACAGGTAACACTAGCTATGGCTCCATCCCAACCCGGTTGTGTTCCAAAAACTACACCACCAATTAGTCATAAACTTATTGTGCCTCCTTGGGATTTTTCTCCTGTGTAGAAGTACTACCTTCTGATGCCTCCAGATAAACTGGACAGGTTTATGCATGCCAGTCTTCCTCACCCCCAACATGTCTGTGTGGTCTGACCAAGAAGCTGAGCAAGCTCTCAGCCCCTTACAAAGGATACAAAAGCGGACTTCTCTACGCATGCTTTTGTTGGGCACAGGAACAGTTGCAGGAATTGGAGCACAGGCAGCTAGCTTAGGCTCTTTGCTCCATTTTTATCACAAACTTTCTCAAGAACTAAATGAGGACATGGAAAAGGCTGCAGACTCTCTCCTTTCCCTGCAAGGTCAGATTAATTTGCTTGTGGCAGTTGTACTCCAAAACTGCAGAAAAAGGAGGAAACTGTGTATTCTTAGGGGAAGAGTGCTGTTATTATGTGAACCAATCAGGAATAGTAGCCACAAAAATTAAAGAACTAAAAGAAAGAATTTAAAAAGGAGAAAGGAATCTGAGACAGGGGAAATGAGGAACTTAGCCAGTGGTCCTTCTGGTTCTCCCACTGGCAGGGCCCCTCATCTCCATCCTCCTCCTCAACACTATTGGCCCCTGCGTACTAAATGCCCTCCAAAAGTTCACATAAAACACTGTTACAAATCGATTCACACTCATATACCAGCTCTGCAAGGCTATAGGTCTATCATAGATCAGAATGATGCCCCCTAAAAACAAGATATTTAAGACGGCAATCAGAGGGGGGAGTGATAAAGAAAATAACATTTTTCAACATGGCCAATAGGACTAACAGGACAATCTAAGCCCCTAGGTCCCTTCCAGGTTCTTCTTCTGCCTGCTTGCCACCCACACCAAAATGCCACATATATAGAAGTAGAAAAGTATAAATTGCTCTTCTTGCCTGTGCTCGGGGCTCAGACCTTTGGAGATCACTCTCCTCTGAGCCTGCCGGTATGAAGTAAACCCTCCCATCCTCCAAGACCTGCAAGTACTGCTTGGTTCTTCCATGGAGCGATCCAGTCCAAGTTCCGTAACAATGGTCCTGACAAATAACAAAGTGACAAATGTAAATTAACACACAAATGTAAATAAAACCAATGTATGTTTTTAACATTATACAATATTAAATATAATGACAAATATGTAACGATTTTTAAATCCTTGTGATTTTGGACTTTTATGTTCAACTTTTCTGTGCTCAAAATGTTGAGAATAAGCATGCAGAGTCAAATCCTACCCATCTTTAACAGTCCATTTTGTGTTTTAACTACCTCTTTGAAGGCATTCTTGCTGATTCCAGGACAAACTGCATTTCCCTTTTCCTAATTTCCGTGGCATTTTGAATTTAGCAGTTAATTAACATTCTGCCTTGTACCCAGAATAAATGCATTATATACTCCCAGAGGGCAAAATGGAAGGTTCTTGTAGGGCAGTACTGTTAACAGGATATAGAAATTAAACAGTTAAATTAGAATGAGATGATGGCTGATTTTCACCAAGCAATAATGACTAAGCCAGTTAGTAATAAGATTTAGGAATGAGTGAAGAGGGCCTAGATAGTAGCAATAAAGAATAAAAGTCCTAGGAATTACGGAAAACATTTTCACACTCCTGGCTTGCATTTGGGATTTATTAGCTCCCACAAAGAGCTATCCAAACCTGAAAGTTTTACAAATCCCTTCCCCCCATCACCCTACCCCGCTTTGTTAACATCACTGCTATCATCTCAGAATTCAGGGGCTAATTGGAAGAGGTTGACTTTAATTAGAATTCTTTAGGCAGAAAGTCACTTCCAACATTCACTGAGCCAGGCGCTTTAGATAGGCTCTTCTTGCACCCTTATTTCCAAGGACACATTCCACACCCACACACGTGAACAGTAATAAATAGCCTTGTGAATATTCGTTAAGGTCGGATTTACCTAAGAGATTAAATTCCCGTTAAATTTTCTGAAGCACAGAAAATCTTTCCACTTTCGGTCCTGCTTTTAACAGCAAAGTGTACTTTAAATCTTCAAAGCATAAAAGATTTGGGCTTGACAGGATTTTCTGAGCAACAGCCAAAGTTGTAGGCCTCGGAGACGTGCCTCCGCCAGGGACCCAGCGCAGGCTGGAGGACGTGCCCTCCCACCACGACTCCCGGCCTGCTCCGCAGCCGCCACGCTGCCCTGCTTCGGCGGCGCGGTCCCCTGCTCCCAGCCCCAGCTCCCGCCGCCGTGCCCCACACCGCGGGCAGCTTCAGCTTCCCGCGAGAAGGCGTGTCGTCAGAACTCAGAAGACTAGAGGGAAGCTCAGTCTTTCCGGGGACCTCCCCGCCCCCGGCAAACGCCAGACAGCAGGGTAAAGTTAGACCCGCGTCCCAAGTTCTAAAGTCTAAGGTTTGCTGACCGCGAAGGCAAGGTGGCCGAGTGCGCATTGCGCTGAACGGTGCCTGAAATCCCCTTTCCCTTCCCGCCCCTCCTTAGACTGCCCCACCCCCCAGCTCCGCCCGCCTCCAGCTAGGTGGGCGGGTCCAGGGTGTGGGCGTGGTTAGGGGGGCTCCAGCGCCGCGAACCCAAAGGTCTTGACGCTGCGCGAGTGGGATAGAGACTGAGTAACGAGACCGAGAATTATCATGGCAACGATGTTTAGGCGAAGCTACCGGGTGAGGGGGCGAGCAGGGCCGGGTGGAGCTGGGGAGTGGAGGTTGTGGTGTTTGCGGGGGGCGGGAAATGGGAGGCGCCAGTCGAAGATGGGTGCCGTTCCGGAGGGGCTGGGAGTCGTGGGGAGGAAGGAGCCGGCCTCAGGCCCATTGGCAGTCGTCAGTCCACCCCAGGCTGCAGCCCGGAATTCCGTACTCTCGCCCGGTTTTCAGGCCCACCCGCTCCTCACTGTGAAACGGAATGCTTCCCGGCTTTCACTTTTCCGTATCCTCACGGCAGCTGCCCTCTGTATAGGCGGAGTCCACTTTCCAGAATATCTATACTTTTTCTTTTTCCGGCCCGGGAACTCGCTAAGTGTTTTTCCCGGGAGTCCCACTCATTTACTAAATGAACCTGCCTGAGAATGGTGGTAGTGGGGGTGCTTGCATAAATATCGCTTCGTTTTTGCTTGAACTGGCATAGTATCTCTTAGAGAAAACTACTGGTTGTCTGGCCTCAGCCCAAGACAGAAATCAAAAAGTAAATGTCATTCTGCAGTTGATGTGTACCCGAAAGTACAGAATTCGTACAGTATTATCTTCGGTGTCTGCCAAGTCACGAGAAAAGGACAGTGGAGCAGCCGTTCTTGGGATATGTAATATGTTTGCTAGGCTTTTTGTTTTGCAATATGGAAGGAGGGCGCTTCTACTTTGCCTCTGTTAAAAAAAAGTAAAAACCTACCGCAGAATTTTCCTCCAAGCTTTTCTACATTTTCTAGTGTTTTTAGCTTCTAAATCACTAGATGCATTTTACTATCTAAATATCACTGATATATTCACAGATTGCCATTTAAATGTCAATTATAACTGAGTTAAAGTTATGTCTTTGGCCAAAAAAAATTCTAGTTTTAGAATTTAGAATAATTCTAATAGATTGTTGCCCAGTATCTGTCATTGCTATACAAGTTATGGGCTATGAAGGCAGAAATTGGGGAATATTTTAAGTGATTTTTAATTCTGACCCAGAAAAAAAGATTTCTCAATGTCAATCCGGAGATCAGAGAACTTGTGCACCCATCAACCTGTTAATTATGCAATAATTAGACAGGTGTATCTCTTTGACACCCCACAAAACTAAGACTTACATTCCTAAGAAATATACAAAAGTTTTTAATTATAGTGCTGTTATTGCATAGTTGATGCTTGGTAAAAGTTGCTTTCTTTTGGAGATTTGGAATTAGCATTGTTCTGGGCAGAGAGCCTAAAGTTAAACAATATTTAAATGTCATTAGGCTTCCATGACATTGCTTTATTTTAATCATCTCAACTAATTATACTGTAGGAGTAGCCCCATTTCCCAGGTTTCCAAAGAAGCTGGAGAAGTTTGTAACTAGTCCAAGTTCTCAAAAATAGTTGCGGAGTTTAAACTCAAATTCAGCGATTTTAAATACAAATAATGTACCATTTCTGTATTCCCTGTCTACTGTATATTCTACCAGTCTAATAAAATAACTAACATTATTGCATAATAGGTTGATGGGCATTGCTCCCTGGCTCTAGCTTCCTTTGTACTTTGTTTTGAATAACATATTTTCCTAAAAAATCATGAACTTTTTGTAAATTATTTTAAATCCACTGATAATTCTCTATTTAAAGTCTCTTGGCAGACTATTTTACCTGTTTTGTAAGGTCTAATTTTTTGTGCAATGGTTTCTGAACACATATTTAGAAGAGTGAAGTTTTGGGGTCTGATTCTTGTTGGGTATTTTTCTTTTTAGAACCTAATAACCAATTAGAATACTTAAATTGACAGTAGTATAGCAAGGTGGTTGATGCTAATTCTAGATAGTAAATGCTAGTAAATATTTTTATCTTAATAGTAAACGGAGAGTTAGAATCCTGGTTCTACTATCTAATAGTAGAGTGACCTTGACCAGTTTTACTTGACCTTTCTGAGCCTCAGTTTCTTCACATGCAAAATAGGCATAAAAATCAATGCCTTGATCCTAGGCTTTACTTGGAGAGGCAATTAATTAGTAACTTGAATGTGACTGTAAACACAATCTATGATGACTGAACAATGAGGACCGGGGAAACAGTGTTTACCTAACAAAATAAAATTAACGAAAATTGCAAAGAAAAAGTGAATTTTCATACTCTGTAGTTAATTTTTGCAAAGTTGTAGTATAAAGTGTTATTTTGAAAGTGTATTTATATTAGGATGTTTGACAGTCTATATTGTCACTTTAAATATAGATTATTCGCTTTATCAGTTGAAGTCTTCTACAAAGTTGTTTCTTTTTACACGTTTTGAAAAACATAAGCAAGTTCAGTTTTTATCTTTTAGTATCATGTTCAGTTTTTTCTCTTTTCTTTTAATCATTTTTTGAATTGCCTGGGCATAGTTCCATCAAAATTCTTTGTCTAGTAATTTTTTAAAAATTAAAAAATTGCAAAACTGCAGAGACCTAACAGCAGCAGACTCATAAACTCCAAGAAGGGACTAGTGGTTACCAAAGGGGAGGGCAGGTGGGGAGGGAGGGAGAAGGGGGTTGAGGGGTATTACGATTAGCACACATGGTGTGGGGGTATCATGGGGAAGTCAGTGCAGCACAGAGAAGACAAGTAGTGACTCTGGCATCTTACTACACTGATGGACAGTGACTGCAATGGGGTATGGGGAGCACTTGATAATATGGGTGAATGTAGTAACCACATTGTTTTTCATGTGAAACCTTCATAAGAGAGTATATCAGTAATACCTTAATTTAAAAAAAAAGTTAAAACTAACCTATTTCAAATATTACAAAAGAAATTACAAAATTATCTAAATTTGGCTGTCTTCAAACATTTACTCAGGAGTTCCAAAGTGGCTTCCAGTTTGGTAACTAATAAATACAAGTTGTTATTTCTATGTGCATTAAGTTGTCATGAATATAAAATGGATTGCAAAGGGAAAACATTTGTAAATCTGATTATATATTTTATATATTCTTTTGAAGAAATATGAGTGTATTTCATATATTAAGCAAATGGTATAGTAGTTTAGAACAGGGTTGGCAAACTTTTTTGTAAAGGGACATACAATAAATATTTTTTGGCCTTTTGGACCATATGGTCTGTGGCAACTCTACAGCTCTGCTGTAATAGCAGCAGTAGACAATATGGTGTGGCTCTGTTCTAGTAAAATTTTATTTACAAACTGGTGGCTGCCATAGTGTGCTAACCACTGGTCTAGAACATTGTAAGAATGCTTATAGACAACAGCAGAAAATTGGAACATGGTTTTAAGGTAATTTGTTTTGTTAAATAGAGTGAAGTATCTTAGAAAATGAGATCTTCCAAGGGGAGAATTCCCAGAGGCTTACAGGGACAGGGTATCCAAGTTGATGGACAAGGCAGCTCTTGAACACAGTACTGTCCTATTGGTGCCCATACTCCAACCCCCAATCACAAATGTCCTGGAGCTTCCAGATGAGATTTCCAGAATAGTTGTCCTAAGTCTACTACTGCCTTTGACTGTTGTTTGTCTTAGAAACATTCTACTTTAGTAGTGCAAATAATAATGATTAGTTTTATTTTCACTGCTTTAAAAAATTCTTTTGTAATAGGTATTCAAATATATGGTAATTAGCTTATTTAATATAGAAATCAAATTACAGCTGAAGACATTTATGACTTAATGACTTACTGTGTTCTTGAATATGGTCGAACAAGTTGCTTACTCATAATTGTCAGTATCCTCTTATTTGATTTTATCAAATTTATTTTAAGAAAATTGTTCTTTACAGGTCCTGAGAAGTCTTTCTCGTTTTGACTGGAGATTACAACATACAAAAGCTGCTCTACAACGTGAACCAGGATTGGGATTTAGTTTTGGTATATGTTTTGTCCTGTCTTGACTTTAAACTTATATTTGTTATGTGTATGCAGCTCTCTCTATATTTTTCTGGAATGTGATTGTAAGCAAACCTAGTAATGTCTGTCAATAAATAGAACCAATCACCATCTACAGATTGTTCACAGTTACACTCATTCTTCCTGATCTCATTTTCTCATTTTTCTCTTCAGTGTAATATCCTACACATAGATCTGTGTTATGTATATATATATATATACACACACACACACATAGTTTATGTAGTCCAAAATAAATAACCAATATATTGATACATTTGAATAGTCTTCAATTTAGAAATTTGAATGCTACAAATACTGCTTGAACACTTACTAGACACACAGTGCTAGGTGCCTGTTAATAAGCCAAAGACTGTTGAGGCCCTAATACATCTGAGCTGCACTTCTGGTGCCTATAGATAGGCTTCTCCGTCCTGGGATCAGGGAGGGAGTGGTGTGCTGTTTGAGGGAAAAGGATGAAGATTTTCTCTGCCCTTTCCTCTCTGAAATGAAGACCCCAGACAAAAAAATTTGAAATATAAATCCTTATCTTTGCACATCCTTTGCCACCTGAAGTGCTTCTTTCTTCACCATCGTTACCTTTTTCTCTAGTTAAAAGCCTATTTACTCAGTTCATTTGGTTTCAGGAAATACCTAAAAGCAGTTGAGATTAACTCACACTCAGGTACAAATGACAAACTCAGGCTCTCTAGGATTACTGTTTTTGTTTCTTATTTTATACTTTGAGATAGTTAGCTTTTAAAAATTTTCTTTAACAGAACTAAATACAAATTTTCAAGCATTGTGAGGATAGCAGTTTGGGACACTGGCTCTTCTTCTTTATTGAGATGTTAGCCTACATTTGGTATGATTGCTATCTAGTTTCAGTTTGTCACATACAGATTCATACTCGTCAGTAAAAACCAGAGGGAAAAATCTGGTGGTTCACTGAGTGATAGAAAATGAGTTAGATATGAGTGTTTAGGAGGAAGATTGTGAAGCTCAAGTAAAGGAATAGGGATAACACATCTATGACCAGTTGCATCTTGTTCTTTATAAAATAGGGATAATATCTACAAAACAGAATTTATTTGATATGTAAAGTTCCTAGTACATAGTGAATGGATTAAAGTAGAGTCTAAATAAATAATACATAATAAATCCCTGCCTTCCCTGCCCTTTACCCACCCACAACCTTGATACGGACTGGCGCCAATACTGGAAGTAAAGGTGTGATGTAAAGAACACTGGACTGATATGCATAAGTTTACTTTTACTGTTAATTCATTGTAAGACTGTGGGGCTATTACTTCCTCCATTTGGCTTTTCTTTCCTTATCTGTAAAATGAGAGATTTTATCTTAGGCTATTTAATTCAACACCAAAATTCTAATGTCTTTTACATTTTATTTCTCACATGCCTATACAAATGATTACAAAGTCTTAAACATTCTTGTTTATTTTTACCTCTGTGTTTTTTTGCCCTCATTGTTCTTGCCCAAAATACCTCATATCATTTTAAATTTTTCTTGTCCTTCGATGTTTGATGTAACCACATTTAAACTCTGTGGTAGTACAGATTGGAAAAAATGCAGTAGTGATTGTCTCATGTCCTCAGTCCAGCTACCATATTCATTCCATCAGTTTTATAATGCAACCCCATATTTTATGTAATTGAATTGTTTACACATCACTTAGCAGAGTTTTATGTTGTTATTACCTTTTGAGAAACCTTTCTACTGCTTTTGCCAGTTGCTTGGTACTAATTTCTAACCTTAAGTTATGTGAGTTTAAAAGAGGAGTAAAATTGAAATTATGGTACAACATTTTTATATGACCACTTGGACAAATTTTATTGGTTTATGGTTACCAAGCATATCTCATCTCCCTAATTCAGGGCAAGTCTTACATGTTAGTTTCAGTGTTAGTAAATATTTGATAAATTTGCTTAGGAACTAGTAAGTAGAAAAATATATTTTTAAATACCTATTGGAAGAGAAAAAAAAATTTATTACTCATTTGTAAAAGCTAGAAATCCTACCTACCTGCTTTGGCATTTGTATTGACAGATTTATTTATGTTGTACAGTGAAATCTGATACGTCTGAAAACACATCATAGTCTTTGATGTTCTGGTTACTTAAGGGTTAAAGTCTCCATTACAGATAAAATTTCCATATACTGATTTCCTAGGACTTTTCTCAATTTATTGTCCTATTTTAATGTTTTCTAAATAACTTTCCCTTAGAGTTCACTGCACAGCAAAAAGAATTTCAAGCTACTGCTCGTAAATTTGCCAGGGAGGAAATAATCCCAGTGTCTGCAGAATATGATAAAACGGGCGAGGTAGGTTTTAAGGAGAGAAAAGTCTTAATTTTTTTACAATCAAATCATTTAGATTTTAAATATAATTGGCTTTTTTCCTTATCTTTTTTTTCTTTTAGTACCCTGTGCCCCTTATTAAAAGAGCCTGGGAGCTTGGTTTAATGAATACACACATTCCAGAGAGGTGTGGTAAGCTTTCTTCACATATTTAATCCTAGAATGCATATGAACACAAACTGAGAAATTCTACCCAGTCGTTCTTTAAAATACTTGTTGCCGTTGAATGACTTTCTTTGTCTTCCTGTTCAGTATTTGCCTGCTTTTAGAGCCTTACACTCAACGCTTAGAGGCATTTTTCCTTCTTGATAACTGATTCCAACCTTAACTTGTTCCTAAACCTTGGTGACTTCTCTTTCTAGAGTTGGTCAGTTTGTTGCATTTAATTCTACCTTTAATTTTACCTTTTATTGAGACTTTTTTTTTTTCTGTGAGGTTATCACTCCTTTCCTCAGATCAAAGGGTCAAAGTTTTAGCCGAGTTGAAACAATTTTTTACAAAGTCAAGTTGAAACAGCAAGATAGGTCCAAATTGCAAATAGAAAGACTTCTTTGAAGTTTTTATTTCATAGAAACATAATTTGTTGCTGTGTTAGCCAGAATACTTTAGTTTCTTGTGTTACCTATTTTGTATTTGTAAATGCACTTTTAAAACAACTAGGTCGTATTGGAAGTAATTAAAATAATTGAACTTTATTTCTGTGGACTTGCAAACATATTACATTGAGCTTCTAAAACATTTTGATACTGTAGGAGGTCTTGGACTTGGAACTTTTGACTCCTGTTTAATTACTGAAGAATTGGCTTATGGATGTTCAGGGGTTCAGACTGCTATTGAAGCAAATTCTTTGGGGGTAAGTTACTTAGAAAATTAATTGCCTAACTGAGCTGTTGTTAATGAGACAGTACTAGTTAGGTTAGTTGGTGGAACACAGTTTTCTTTAAAAAGGAGTTAAAGATTCTTCAGGGAAGCCTAGAGTTCTTATTCCAAGAGCTGATCATTCTGGCCGGGCTGTTTCCAGTATTTAAAGTCCTGATGGTCCTTGTGGGGAAACTGTACTCTTTGGCTGCTGTATCAGTGGCAATTCTTAGTTAAAGACAAGGCCAAAAACCAGCATTCAGAAGGATGACTTACTGCCAGTGCTGGCACTGCTGAAATGTAGTGAGCGATTCTTAAGAGGCCTGACCATATATATCATGAAATTTATCCTAAATTTAATTCTTTATCTGTGCATTTTATTACAGTAGATTTTTACTTACTACCAAAAGTCCTGTATAACTTAATTTTATGAAAATATTTGGATTAACATTTATTTTCTTATGGTTTTATGAACATATTTGGATTAACATTTATTTTCTTATGGTTTTAATTCTCTTAGATAGTTGTTTTTAATTGTAGTATCTTAGAATTTTCATACCTAATAAAATACCTTGCTTTTTTAAAATGTCATTTTCCTTTGGTAGCAAATACCTGTTATTATTGCTGGAAATGATGAACAGCAAAAGAAGTATTTGGGGAGGCTGACTGAGGAGCCACTGATGTGTGTGAGTATGTGCAGCTGCTGCTTTATTTCACATTTAAAGAAGGGAACAAGGGTGCTGTTTCTCCTTTTAAATCTGTGTGTATACATTGGGCTAAAACACATTAAGACAAAAGTTAGCAACATATTTAGGTACAATTATGTTTCTGGGATGCAAAGGAGGTGTCTTTAAAATCTCTTGCTTTCTTCCAGAAGAAAGATGCTTACCTATGATGTTTCTGGGATGCTAGAAAATGTCGTAATAATCCCCTAGCTTATTTCCAGGAGAGAAATATCTACTTAATGGACCCCTGCAGTTCAAGAACTGAGTGGTTGTGTCAGGAAGTTCAGATTGAATGTATGGCAATAGGTACTTAATTAGTAGTCTTTTGAACTAATAAGACATTAATGTGACTGAAAAGATACCAATTTATTTTGAATCAATGAGTGACTTGGGGGGAATAGCTATAGATTTTATTGAATTCCCTGAGAGCTACTTAACAAATTTTTAAATTGGATTTTTTAAAAAAGATTATTTTCATACATGTATTATACACACATATACTGAGGTTTTATTCTGAAATTGTTGTTACATAAGGATTTTTACTTCTTTTGTTTACTAGTCAGATTTCAATCTAAAATGTGATTGTGATAGAAAATACAGTAAACTTTTATTAGTTTTGAACTAATTGTGAGAACCGGTCTGAAAAGTAATATTTGAAAATAAATGTTTTTATTTTAGATACCTGAATTTCAGGCAAACTGCTTAATAAAGACATAAATATTTCAGTTAGTTGGTAATTTTTTGACCCAATTCAATGAGAATTTAATAGGCTTATTTTCAGTATTGTCTAAGAATTGTGTGAAACATCTAGATTCTTTTCTATAACATAAAATACTAGAAACAGTCTAAAATATTACATAGCACGGAGGTGCTTAGGAGAATCTACCTTAATGAACTGATAAGAGTATTTGTAATTATTGTATTAGTTATAAATAGCTATTTCTGAAATATTAAGTCTTTAAAAACAGTTACAAGTATTTTAAACATTTCCTTGGAAGTTTTGTTTGTTTTTTATATGTTCACTGTATCTAAAAATACTTTATAGTCTCTAAGTTAGTCTAACTTCTGACTTTAATTAAGATTACTAACACTTTCCCCATTCTGGCACATAATAGTAATAGTTGTACTCAAAAATAATGAAGCCGAGGGTGAAAATGAAAATGGCCAATTAGGCATATTAATTATAAGTCTTGATTAATTCACACTTACATTCATTTATATAACTCCCAATACTTACAAAGTTAATTAAATATAATATTGTTTCATGTAAACTTTTAAAAAATATTTTTTAACTTTTCTTATTAAAAAAATAGTGTAGAAGATTTAGAAGGGTATGAAGAACAAAAATATCTGTAATCCCTCAGATATAAAGTTAACTGGCATTACTGTCTTACTGTATATTCTTTATCAGATTTTTTTAACACATATAAATGTTTTTTTAACAATTAGGGTGATATATGAAATTTTATATCCTTTTTAACATGAGAATTCCTGTGCTTCTTAAAAAAATACTATGCTACTTATTATTGCTTAATATTTATCTAATGGATATACTTTATTATAATTGTATCACCATTCCCCATTGTTGAATATTTAAAACCTTAGATTTTTGTTTTTAAAAATAATGTCTTGGTACAAAAAAACTGATAGAAGTTTTTAGATTTAACTTTGTTACTACATATTCATAAGACTTAATCCCTTACTTGATCATGTGGTCAGATATACCTTTTCTGAGGAAGCAAAAACAGAGATAAGTAATAGCAACACCATTTTTTAATACCTCTTAGTGCAAAAAAAAAAATCTCTAAAAATCACAAAATCAATATACTATTACATATATATTATATATATATAATATTAAAACAATAAATTAGAAACCATATTTCCTTCTTAAAATTGAATTAAATCTTTTTAAACAACTGTGTACACCTAAAATATATGCAGTATTTGATAGGAATAAGTATTAGACTATTAGGGCATGCTTGTTATGGGTAAGACATTCGGTAAACTCATTTGTCTAAAAATGGTCTTAGTACCCAGAAGTCTCTATAAAAAGCCTAATGATGGTGAAGAACAGTGTTTCATAAAGTCATGCACTGCCAGTGGATCTAGGAAGTAACTAGAATGTAACTGAAAAAACACTGAACTTGGGGTCCTGACACCTGGCTTCAATTCTTGACTCAGTTATATGATAGCAATGTGATCTTAAATAGTCACTTAACCTCAAAGTCTCTTCTGAAGTAGGGAGTATGATATCTAAGAGGGATAAAAGATAAAACAAAATGCTTATGTTTTCATAAGAGCATCTTCACATAGTGTCCTTTTTTGTTAAAATACATTAGAGAAATTTCTTTCAGACCGGGTACACATTCTCTTTAACTGCTGTTCATTCATTCACTCAATATCTGAGTTGTCTGCTATGTGCAAGATGCAAGATTAAAGCTTATGGGAAATTTGCACTTATAAGTTATGCTTATAACTAGATTTGTTTTATTTTGTTAAGTAGGAAGCAGAGGGTCAATTTTATAGTCTACCATTGGTAATTTTTGAACCTCAAGGCATGTATTGTAATGTATTATTTTTCTTTCTGGTTTTATCTTTATGTTCACTTTACCCTGATTTTTTAAAAACATGTACTAAACAAACTACCTCAAGTTCCTTTACAGAATAAAGGCAAAAAAAAGTTTTTAATAGAAAATAATACAAAACTGCTTTACGAACTATACAAATGTGAGGTGGTGGTATTATCACTAATAAAGAAAGATGTAATACCATAGTCATTCAAATATTTGAATACTGTGTACCAGGTAGACTAGGAAAAAAATTGTGAATAAAACTGGGCTCCTGCTCACAAGAAGTTAACAATCTGGTAGACTCTCAGATCTTTACCCAGAATATATTGTTATGCATAGAATTCTAAAAAATAAGTAAATAATAAACTCTTCATAAATAAATAATCATGCATAAAGGAATGTTACTAATACAGTTAGCAACATTTCAGTTTCATTAGTCAAACTGTTAGAATGGTAATGATGGCAAATGCTAGGGGCTTTTCTTCTTTTATTAAAACACTTATTAACATGCACAAGGGATACCAAATGGAATAAATACAATTCCTACCCTCAAGAAGCTCTGATGCAGTGTAAGGAGGAAACACATAGATGCCTATAATACAGTATATAATACTGTGTGGCATGATAAAGAAGAGAATGGAAACAAAAAAGGTGGCTTCTACTGAAAAAGCATTACAAAATTAATTTTAATTACTGAGAAACAATCAAGTAAGACAAGAACACCTCTGAAGAACCATCTGTGACTCTTTAGTTAGGAGAGCTTAGTTAACTCACATGGTACCTGAATCCCCTCTGTAGTACGCTTGTCAAAAGGTTATCTCTCTCATGTTGTAACCCTGGAGTGTGACCCTGGAGTCACAGCCTCCTAAAATGGCTACATTTGGAAGTATTTTAGACCACTGCAAAGTGCTTCTAGATTACATGCTTCTGAGGGAAACAATTGTTGCTTCTTTTAATAATATCACCACTTCAATACCAGAATAGCATAATAGATGCTCAATAAAAGTTTGAATGATTTCACTGTAGTTTTCTATCAATTCAGATTCTTGTCCTTGACTATACAGCCTTTCTGATATTTGAATAGCAATCATGTGGATCTTACCTTTTCTAAGCTAATTATCCCCATTTTTTTCATTTTTCTTCATACAACACAGTATAAGTCCCAGCACCTTCTTAGCAGTCACAGACTCAGAAATATTATAGAGCTAAATACAGTACTCTTCTATAGACCTAGCATGTTCTGATGATACAGAGTAGAAAGGTTCCATCAGTCTCATTTTAGATACTGTACCTTCATAGCTTATAGAATTAGCACTGTTGATTTACGTAAAGTTTACTATGGTGTTAAATTAGTTCAACTAAATCAGTTTCTCCACCAGGTGTTAAGTTTTAGTATATGCATTTAGTCTATTAACTCTCCAGATTCAGCCCTGACTTCTCCCTTAAGTCTGACCCTCCTGTACCTCCTTAGATATTTCTTCTTATCCATACTTCAAATAACTTACTCTCAGTATTTCCCAAACCAGATTATTTTCTCTCCACTCTTTAGAACTGCTTCACTTCTGGATTACCTACTTGGAAGTTGCCTAAACTAAAAAACTTAGATTCATTATAACATCTTTAGCTCCCCAGATCTTTTTCATCATCATGTCCTGTGGATTTCACACCACAGTTCTCAATGTCATACTCTCTTTATTTCTTGCCTGCACTATTGCAGAGCATCCTAATTTGTTTCCCTAATTCCAGTCTTACATAGGTACTTCCACCACTTACTAGCTCTGTAAACTTTAGCAAATTACTTAGCATCACTATGCCTCAGTTTCTTTATTAGTGAAATGTAGATACCCAATACCTATGTTAGGAATTACTGTGAGGATTAAATGAGTCAAGTATTTATAATAGCACCTGGAAGACAGTGAGACGTTGTTGTTACTATTATTATCTCCTCTTAAATCTATCCTTTATAGTTTTGTAACAGTAAACTCTAAAATGTGATTTATCACTGTCCTGGTTTTAAAAAAAATTCAGTGGTTCCATTTCATCACTGGTAATGGCACCTAATACATGTTTTTAGTTCATGAATCCATTTTAGAATCTGACTTTCTCCAAAAAATGCATATACTCCTCACTTTTGCACAGTAGGGTGTTCTGGATCCCCCTGAGGCCTGTGTACTTTTGATTCCCTGAGGTTCTATGGCACAATTATAAGTGTTAAGTAAACTTTTGTTGAATGCATGAAAGTAATCTCTCCTTAGCATGGCAGTCACCATTCTCAGGTCCTTGAGTGCCTTTTTAGTTTCTTTTCATGGCTTTCCATTTCATGCTTTACATTCCAGTACTGATTGGCTAGTAGTTTCCCCTGTACATCTGTTGCTTCATTCTTCTATGCCTTAGATCAGCTCAACCTCACTTACTTCTCCTTCAAGACCTGTCTCTTCCTGTGAGTTTTATTTACTACTGTTTTCACCCTCCTTATCACTCATCACCTCTGTCACATCTCTGACACCAAATGCAATGGTGTATTTTTTCCCTACATATATGTATAACAGTAACAATATTCTACACAGCAGTGATAGTAGTATAACTTCATTCGGGTTCCCGGACCTGATTCCAGTGTGTGTAAATAGTGGGACACATGCTTAACAGCATGTAATTCTCGAACACCATCAGGGGGTTGGAGAACTCAATTCTGATGTTATCTGCCCAGAGACAGCACCAGATTCCCAGGGTAAGGGCTCCATCCTACAAGACTGCCCTCCACCCTCCACTCCAGACACCAATCACACGCCCCAAGCAGTGTTACCTCTGCTTCCGACCTACCAGCTACAAACTGGAGTTTCCCATGACCTCCCCCTTAGGTTCAATTAATTTGCTAGAGCAGTACACAGAACTCAGGAAAACAACATTTACCAGTTTAATAAAGGACACAAGTTAACAGCCAGATGAAGAGAGACATAGAGCAAGTTCCCAAATAAAGGAACCTCTATCCTCGTGGAGCTTGGGGCCCAGCTTGGTAGCACATGGAGGCTTTCTGGTTTCCCAAGCATAGAAGGTCTCTCCAACCAAGAAGCAGGATCCAACCAGGCAGAGCAGGGCAAGCTCTTCTCATGGATTTTCTGAGGGCTTCACTGCAAAGTCATGATTGCTGATCCAACCTCCAGCCCCTGCCCTTGGGTGTGGGTCCAAAACTCTCTTATTAACATGACAAAACACCTGTTTCACTTTTAAGACTGCAGTGTTTTCAGGAACTGTAGATGAAGATCAAAAATACCTGGGAAATACATATTTGGTCATCCATATGACCATGATCATCATTTAACTCATCATATCACAACCTCTCACCTGGTATAGCCCTTAAGTAATCATTTCTAACATCTCTATATACACATCCTACTTTGAATTAAAATAAACTATTAAAACCTTCTCTCTTTGTACTAAAAGTACCTTAAGGGCAAGGAACTTGTGTCATCAGGCCTTGTATGCACATTACCTGTCACTTAGTAAACGTGAATGGACTTCACGTTTGCCTTCCATATGCTTGCCTTTCATAACCCTCTTTATCCATCACTGCTTACATCTTGTCACTCCTCTGTTAAAGAGCCTTAGCAGGCTTCCCTCTATACCAGATAGAATTTTTACCTTTGGTGTGATATAAAGTATTCTTTGTCTTCTACTTCCTTCCTCTTTCATTTCCTACCATTCCCTTACAGGCACAGGGTGTAACATGTTATGAACTCTGGTACTTTAATATTACAAACACTGGGTAACCCTGCATCCTATCTTAGTATCATTGCATATGTTATGATTTCTGCCTGGAAACTCATTCCTTCCTTTCCCTACTCCCAAATAAATCCTCTTATTTTTTGGAACTTAATTTAAGCATCACCTCTAGGAAGTTTTTCCTGACACCCTAGAACTAATCTAGTTTCTCAGACCCATGGTGTATTACTTTAATACTTGATATATAATTACAATATCATACTCTTCTCCACTGTTATATTGTGAAAGTCTTGAAGAACGAATTCTTTTAACCTCTGGCTTTTCCATCTCCTAGTTCATAACCTGGTATGTAGTAGATACTACTCAATAAATGTTTGAATGAGCACATCTGAAGGTGAATTTAACTTGGTTGAGTATATCAAGCATTTTAATTTTTGATAAGGTTTATTGGTATCCTATGTCCAGCTTTAAATTATTAAATGTTTTTACATTTGAGCAGCTTGATTCTCTAAGGACATTTTATTTTCAGGTATTTAAAAATAATTAAATTACTGGCTTAAAAAATAAAATACACTCCTGGTTCTAAACATTCATAATTTAATGATTAATGTTTAATTTTTTTCTCTGATTTCCACATGTTCAAGGCCTACTGTGTAACAGAACCTGGAGCAGGCTCCGATGTTGCTGGTATAAAGACCAAAGCGGAAAAGAAAGGAGATGAGTATATTATTAATGGTCAGAAGATGTGGATAACCAATGGAGGAAAAGCTAATTGGTATGTTGTTTAAAACATCTCTGTATATTGCTCTTTAATTACTTTATATTCAGAATCTCCTCTTTCTCCTTTCCTTTATTCAACCACATTAAGGTAAGTTTTATTCATGGAAGTAGAAGGCCCATAAAAGATTACACGTAGTTCAGTGATTTTCAAAAACTGTTTTTAAGCCCTGAACTGTTTCTTCACATTAACTCTCAGAAGTTTAATTTTTAAAATAAAACAAAAATACCTGCTCTGATTGCATGTGATCAGGAAAGCTGGAGCTCCATCTACTTGGATTACTAGCTGTACT